TACAGCATTTAACAACATATTGTGAAATCTATAAAAACCATAGGCGATTGGCAGCCGATGGTCACAGCTATTTGAAATGATTTGAAAAGCTACAATAGAGGTCACATCTACCTTTCTGACAATGAAATTCCAAAGCGTCACCTGTAATTTTTCAAACACATTTTTTATCCTACTTGCACACACTTTAGGAATCGATGCATGTTTAAAGAGTCCTAAAGTATGACTTCTAGGTTCAAACACCTCTCTGTCTGTCTCTCTCAATTTCATAAGATTTTTGGTATCATAAAATGAAGCTATTCTTCTGAAATAGGGAATCACTAGTTGAGTATAACTATTATTGAAATGTCTGCTTTCATGTGAGTTACTCTCCCATGATAAAGTTACAAGCCTGTAGTCTTCTAGTTGAGTGTGAAGCACCAGTGCAATATATATGTAATACTGAAGGGATTCAGATTAAAATCTTGAAGGAACGGGGAGCATGAATGGCCTCTCATTTGAAAGCTGAGTTTCTTCTTGTTACTGAAAAGTAAACCGCCTACAAGTGTGACTGCCAATCATTTCAACCTGAACGGAGGGAATCATCATCATTATGCTATAGGGGGTGACCAAAAATTTAGGCCCAAGACTCCCTTTACATACTTTTGTTATCTGTGGGCTTGAGGCAATGTGTTTTAATGGCAAGAACATGGACTTAAAATAGACATTCACCAAAACCTCCACTAATCCAACCATTTCCACATGCACCACTTCTCTGACTTGCCTCTCCTTTACTAGCATCGGGTCATAGGAACCCCTAAGCTTCCCAGCCAATCTTTGGAGTTTCTGTTGTCAAGATGATCTCATAGAAAAGAAAAACCAAACCCAGTGCCCCTGGAATCCATTCCAACTCATAGTGACTCTAAATGAGCCAGAGTGGAACTGTTCCTCCGCGCTTTCCAGACTGTTCATCGGGCAGCCTCATCTTTCTCTCTCAGAGTGACCAGGGCATTTAAACTGCTGACCTTGTGGTTAGCAACCTAGGTCTTAGACCACTGCGTCATGCCATCATGGCTCTTTTGATCCTGTACAAATAAATTTTAAGTATACTGCTAAGGCAGACATTTTTACTAGTTAAGGTAAGTTATAGTTTGTTTTACAAAGACATCAGTGGATATTTTTAGATTATAAATTATATCAGGGCAATAATTTCAGAGGTTCATCCAGTCTTGAGGGTTCGAAGAAGTCTGGAATATGTGCAAATTTTAAATTCTGTTTTTCATTTCTACCCCTTTTATCAGGAGCCTTCTATGGAATGTTTGACCAAAATAGTCAATAACGGTAGCCAGGAACCATCCAATTTTGGTCTCATGACAAAGGAGGCAGTTTGTTGATAGAGGCATGTAATCCCACATTCCATAGCCTCCTTCTAGACTACATTTTAATTCTTCCTCTACGGTTCATAGAGCAATTATTTTGCCTTGGTTGGCCACTTGCAAGCTTTTAACCCCAGGCACTATGCAACAAACTAGAAGGTAAAGCGGAGACACCAAAGTTGTTATTAAAGCAATTAACTGGTATGTCTCATGAAACCCAGGAACACAGACCACTGAGTTAAACTGATTTTGGTTTGAAAATAAGCGATCCCAACTTAATTAAGTGTGTGACCCCTAGGGTCATTTAGCTATCGAACGAGAATAACAGCCATCTTTCTTATGCGTGCTGCTTGAATATGTGGCCATGACTTTCTTGATCTTCCTTCCTTACTGACTTTTCCAAAGATACTGTGAGCGTTGTACAGTGAGGGGATAAGGATGGAAATATCTTCTTGGGCTCAGCCTCTACCTGAATTTGTTACTGAATGTAGCTGCTTAGGTCCACTGAACAGCAGACTCCAAGACGAATTTGCATGTGCGAGAGATTTATTGCAGAAAACACCTGTGAAGGACAAAGAGAGTGGAAGCAGGATTAGGGGTGGGGGAGCCTTCAGACTTAGGTGTGGGCTGAAGTGAACCTGAGAACTTCTAACCAGGATAATGAGGAGCCCCAGGCAAAGGTTGCCCATCAGAGATCTGGCAAGAAAGTGTTAGTTTTAGGATTCCCACCTTGGCTGGGAGCAACCATGAAAAACAGAGACTGGACAGAAATGCTTCAGAGGAAATCCAGAAGTTGCCACAGCTAGAGCCCATCAGCCAATAGCACTCTTCCAGGCAGGTTCCCCTGGAAGCATGGTCTGGTAGTGCCCTCCCATGACTGCACACTAGTACTTTCAATTTTATAATGAAAATGTATATTTTTCTATGAGACGATATAAAAGAAAACTAGCCACATGTAAAGTCTCGATCTCATTTTTTTAAAAACAGTTTTATTGGCACTTCATCCACGTATCAGACAATTCAAACATCCAGACATATCAAGAAGAGTTGTAGAATCATGACCACAACCATTTTTAGAACATTTTCTTTTTCTTTATACTCATTGTTCTTAGTGTAATTATTTTTTTAATTGTGGCAAAAATATACACAACAAAACATTCTCCAATTCAACAACTTCTACATGTATAATTCGGTGCCATTGATTTTATTCTTCGTCGTCTGAAATCATTATTGACATCATTTTCCAAGTCATTCCACCACCATTAACAGAAGCTCAGTCACCCTAGGCAACAACTCTTTCTCTTTCACCGGTGGCGACAGCTGGTCAACTTTAGTGTCTTTCTTTCCTTCACACTTTCTTTCTTTTAGTAACTTTCTTGATATGAAATGCACACACACCATACACCTCCATAGTTAAGCGGATTTTTAAAGAGTTGTATATAGATCATCACCATCAGTTCTAGTGCTCCCTCCTCCTCCTCTTGCATTCATTTTGTTCGTCCCTTCCCCTCACCCTCCCCAGGCCCCCACCGCATCCCTATGCCCAGATTAACCATTGCATCAGTTAGGGTTCCTTTGTATCCACTCTTTCTATGGTTCATAAACTGGGAAACTTAACAGAAACAACAAAAAACCCCAAAATGAAACAGAAAGAATAAAAATAATAATAATATAAAGATGAAATAAAGAGTAATAAAGAAAAGACCACCAGCAATATTTTTTTAAAGCCAGAAAATAAATTTCTGTCGTGGGACAGCTGAAAAATATTTAAGTCTAGAGCAAATTCAGGTTGGGTCAAGAAGGAAGTCAACTGAGCAAGTATCATATTACACTGTGATTCAATCCACCACAAATTTACAATAATCTCTCTGATAGTAAATCTCTCTGATAGTCCCTTGTCTGTGGCTAGTGAGGGTCTGCCAGAGGTTACGTCTGACTATATACACTACAGATAGATTTTGGGCTCCCACTGCCCTCTATAGCTTTCTACAAATTGAGTATTCAAATTTAAGTGCTGATATCTTTCCCTTCATCATGTTTGGATTTTGTTATCATCATCTTGGATCGGGGCTAAAGTTAAGTGGGAGCCCAGAATCCCTCTCCTTATCCACAGTTATGAAAGATGCAGGTTTACTTTAGCAATCATTTTATGACAAAAACAAAAACCAACGAGGAAAAACAAGACACACAACTCCCCCCAAAGGGAAAAAAACAAAGCAAAAGACAAAACAAACAAAAAAGAAAAGCATTGTCAATCATCTTCCTGGCATATAAGGTAATTGCATTGATAACATCAATAATGTATCCAATACCATAGTACTTAAAGTACTATTGATATGAAAAGTTTATGAGAGTGTAGTCAGACTGTGAGCTGCAATCCATGAGTTGTTGCTTTGGGCTGATTGCTTTCTGAATTGATGGAGCTGTTTACCTGGAGCATGGGGGTTGGTGCTAGCAGAACATTTCCTGTAACACTCCTTACAAGTGCAGGTCCTTGCCTATCAGATTAATACCTGTTATATTAATGAAGGGAATCATTGAGATACTAAATATATGGTGGTTCTGGGTCCCCTTTCATTGAATGCTGACTAAGGCACACAAGGTTCAATGTCCACAGTCTTGGGATAGCCAGCCTTTGCTTCCTCTCTCATCAGGGAATCTCTGTCTTTAAGTCCAAAGACTACAGGTAGTTTTGAGGTAGGGCCCAGTTCATTCAGTCAGGCTTCCATGTTGAGTCTTTCTGGTGTGGCCTTTGGGGGATACCATGTCCCTGTAAGACCATTGTCTAAGGTCATCAGAGTGCTGAATTCATGGCATGATTCACTGAGGGTTTGGTAGAAACTTATTCAAAGTGTCTACCCAGGAACATAGAACCAGGTTTATTCTCTCCTTAGGTTCCCTACAATTGTTGTTTAGCATCCCTTCCTGATGTGATATTGCTTCTCCCCATTTACCCACCAACAGAAATATACTCCTATGAATTGCAAATGCTCCCCTCCCCTGGTCTTCACTTGATTTTCCAGTAAGGTTCTCCTCCCACTCCTGTGGAGGGCCTGTGCATTTGTCACAGCCTTGTCTCCATGTGGTGTGGCATCAAGTGGATGACACTCTCCCCTCTCCCTCTTAAAGTGGATGATCCTCTCCCCTCTCTTAAAGGCGTGACCCCAGCCAATGTGAGGCCTCCTCTTTCGAGGTTGTTCTTGTGATATACAGATAAGGGGGTGTTCATGGCTAGTAGGCAGACTTTCCACCCCTTTGGTTGTGAATTGGCCTCTGTGATGTATTTAATTGGTGTTTGTTCTTACAGTTGTGGACTCATATATTTGTCCTTTGGTGTCTATCTCCTTTTTGTCTCATCTTTCTGAACTGAGCCCACCGACTGGGTGGAGCTCACATCTACTTGGCCCACAATTCATTTTTCTTCACTTCAAAATATAGTAAAATCACATGGCTGGAACAATATCTTGTCTTTATAATGGCTTTATGTTAAAAAGTCACTTATCAATCGGTCATACTGATAGGTTGTTAAATGGTGACTTGGTAAGAAGTCTAATTTGTTAACATTTACCATACAATTAAAGATCCCATATTAAAGCAGGAACTATAGAGCATAATTAACTTAGATTACCTGTTCTTGGTTTTCCATAGAGTATTATCTAGCATGACAGATGCAGTGCTGGCTCGAGTGTACAAACAGTCGGACCTGGACACCCTGGCTCAAGAAGCTTCCATCCCAATCATCAATGGGCTCTCGGACTTGTACCATCCGATTCAGATCCTGGCTGATTACCTCACACTCCAGGTTGGCTGTTCTCTTTGTCTTATACAAGAGAAAAATCAACAAATGGCTGAGTAACTTTCAATGGAGCCATTTCCTTAAAGGGCCCTATGGGTGCATAAGGGCCTTGTTAAAAACAGACTGCAAGGTCTTTCTATTTTCAAGTCTGATCCTAAAACCTGGCACTTTTTGCGTTGGGTGCCTTATGTAACACAATAAATGACTATGGGATGCTAGCGTCTGTAGACTTAAAAGGCTTTATGCAATCTTCCATATACTAGAGTCTGTGGCTTGTGAGTGAGGACTGGAGGAGTGTACGTAAATATTCAAAATTGTCAGTTACATAAAGTCTGTGGTTAGAAACAATATCCATTCCTCGCTGTGACTTTAAGAATTTGTACACAAATCCGAAGTCCAAACAGGTGCACGTGGTTCTTATTTAGCCTTATTTTACTGCAAAAAAAAAAAAAGGAGTCCCGGCATTGCTGTGGGCTAGTCATTGATTGGCATTGGCTGCTAACCACAAACTCTGTAGCTCAAACCCACGAAGGGTGATACTGTCTGCTCCTGTAGAGATTTACAGTTTTGAAATCTCTTATAATTTGGAGTTGACTGGATTTCAGTTGGGTTAGTGTAAGAAATGACTTGAAGCCTTTCGAAGAGTTAAAAGCTGCAAGGGAAGGTGATTGTGATGAAGTTGGTTCACTTGTTTCAAAGTGAGCACAAATTTACATAGCCTTACAGGACAAGAGGGAGTTGTGTTTCAGGCATTCATGACCTAGTGACTGCCTGTACTAAATAATTTTGGGGAGAGGAAGGTACTTTCCATCATTTTGATAAAGTAGTAAGTTTAAGACTAGAGTTAAGAACATGCACAATTTATAGAATCGGGGTTCGACCTTAGCCATATCTCCCCCAAATAGGAACTTGAACAATTCTGAATGATTCACCCCGCTTGCTTCACCACCACGAGTCTGCATGTGAGATGCTAACAATCCTGGTTTCTATGCTGCTAGAGAATGAGCAAGCTAGATAGGCCCATCTTTCTCTTTATTTAGATAAGCTGCACACATGTAAATGTGAGGTTAAATTGAAAATGAAGCTCTTCACAAACGAAGATAAGATCCATCCTGAGAGGATGGTATGATGATGTCACATACCAAGTGGCTATTTGCAGGTGTGGAATACCAGATAACTGAGTGCTTCCCCAGGCTTTATCATTACTAGATAATAAATACATTGAGAGACAATGAGCTACCCTATTCATCATCGTGTCCCCTGGAGGCCCTTACAGAATGCCTTCATTACAGGAGCTATTCAAAGTAGGAATTGAATGAATAAATAGCAATTTATTCTGAGCATGCTCTAAGTCAGATGGGTATAGGTTTAAGTCTTAGCTTACTTAACTTGTAGTTCTCTCCAAAGAGAGAACTTTCTCTTTTAAAAAAGCTTATTTTTATTAATATATGAAATTCATCAAACCTACAGACACTTCTGAGGACAGCATTTATACAAGATCACGTGCTATAACTGATTTATGGGCTGTTATGATATCTGTAAGAGCCCACATAAAATGTTCAATACACTGAAGTTGATAATGGCAGACATAAAAAAAACCAAACACCCTACAGACACTTCAAGATAAAGTAAACACGCATGATGTGCCCATTACACAGTTTGTCAAATCTTAATATCAAGGCCAATTCCTACTCCTAGTGATCCTATAGGGAAGAGGAGAGCTGTTCCTAGGGTTTCCAAGATTGTAAATCTTTTCAGGAGCAGACCTCCTCGACTTTTTATGGTTACTGGATTCAAACGCCTAACCTTGTGGTTATCAATTCAATGCTTAACCCACAGTGCCACCAGAGCTCATTTATCATGATGGCATCACTACTTTTGAATCTTTCACTGCTTCAAAATAAAATATTACAAGTGGAGTTGAAGCTCACTGTCTAACTCTATCTGGCCTCGTTTTCTACCAAGAAACTATCGTCCTCATGTTTGTTTTTATACTTTTCAGTCATGTTTGCACTTTTCCTACAGGTATCTATACCTATGAACAATCGAGAGTATTATTTGTGCATGTTTATAAACTTTATATAAATAGGAGCATTCTCAGTGTCACCCTGTTGCCCTGTTCCAGGGGCATTTTAGTTCTCATTTCTCGTATCCAAGCGTGTAAACTTCATAAATGCCTTTGTTGGTTGTTTTATCACCAAGGCCAAGAAGAATGCTAGGATATTGGTAGTTCTCAACTTGTTAAATACCTGAAGAAACCTAAGGTGCAGCTTTGAAGTACATGAAAACACGAGTCTCCATATGAGTTCACACAATGTCTTGGCTGAAGATAGTTTATCACTTTGCTCTTTCTTTTGTGCTTGTGCATTCAAATGTTGGGATTTGCTCTATTGTGAAAAGAAATTCAGTAATTTATTCATACCGAGAGGACATTAAAACGGAGGTGAAAATGGTTTCCTTTATTTGAACCTTGGTTATTGCTATCCTTAAGTAGATTGCCTCCTGGCTTTAATCTCCATCCCTTGCCTTGCAGGAACACTATGGCTCTCTAAAAGGACTCACTCTCAGTTGGATTGGGGATGGGAACAACATCCTGCACTCCATCATGATGAGTGCAGCAAAATTTGGGATGCATCTTCAGGCAGCTACTCCAAAGGTAGGGAAACATTCTACCATGACACAATCCCCCATTAATTTTATTGCGTTGAAATTCACATATCATAAAATTAATCATTCAAAGGTAACAACTCAGTGTAATTAAGTACAATCATAATGCTATGCATCTACCATAATTCCAAATTCTTCCCTCCATCCAAAATGGAAACTTGTACTCATTATGGTTGCCCCAGGCAACCGCCAATTTTACTCTTAATTCTGTGGCAAATACCTATTCATATCAATAGAATAATACAATATGTGACGTTCTTTGCCTGTCTTCTTTCACTTAGCATAATGCGTTTAAGGTTCATCTATGTTAGAGCATGCATCAGTACTTCATTCCCTTTTATGTTAAAGAAAATCCACGGTATGCATATACCATTATTTGCTCAAGCATTCATTTACCAATGGGCATTTGAACTCTTTTTACCTTTTGCTATTGTGAATAGTGTTACAAAGAACAAGTGATACAATTTGAGTACCTGTTCTTCATTCTTAAGGGTATACCTAGAAGTGGAATTTCAGTATTATATCCTATATTTATTCTATATTTAACTATTTGATAACCCAGAAAACTGTTTCCCACCATATCTGTACCATTTTATATTCCTACGGGTAATGAACAAAGTTATCAATTTCTGAATATCATCTAATCCCTTCTTAAATTACCCCCAGGTGCATTTCACCCAGTAAGAACAAACTTATCTTCCACTTAAAGATAGAGCAAATTGGGCCAAAAAATTTAGGACATGTTACTAGCCCTGCTATTAAATAGCTAACTGGTCTCTTAAGTGGCCAATTTCCATCTCCAAAAGAAAAAACATAGTCTTAGCTAATACCTTTCATTCTGTGAGCCTGTGTTAAAAGGATGTCTGAATTTTACTCTGAATGCCCTGAAATCAGCTATTATAACAACTGGCATATTTGTGTATTACTACCACAAGGACTGAAGAAAGCAATGAAATTCAGACAGCATAGAGTTTTTCTAATATTTCAATGTGGTAGAAAAAAATCAATCTGATGTGAAGGTCACCATCTTAGTATTTCAAAACTCAACTTCAGGAGCCTTTGTACTTTAAAATCTGAGTTTCTCATGGCTGGAAAGATGAATTCTACATATTTCCTAGTTTCTGCTAATCTCACAGAATCTATGTGAAGCATAATTTCTTTCATGAGCACAAAGTAACCCTTTCCACATGCAAGAAATTAGTAATAGTTGTTTTCTCTAAAGAGGGAAATGGAGAGGCTCAGGGACAGAGGCGGGAAGGAGAATTTATTTATATCATATATCACTTTATATGGTTTTAATTTCTTAACACGTATACGTTTTATCTGCACAATAACATAAATAAAATACACCAAAAATTTTAAATGTAGTGCTCCCTAGGAGAAGCCCATTTTAAGATATTTCCATGAGTAGAGAACATGAACAGATGCCTCACCAAAGAAGACTTTTAGGCGGCCAACAAACAGAAGAAATGCTTGAGATAAAAACACTTGGGATAAATGCATGCTTTAGAATAATCAACCATTTCATCTCTAATAGGCAGCATTTGCCAAAGGACAAAATTCAAAAAGGGTTAGGCAAAACAGAGGAATGGAAACAGGAAATAAAGGGAGAGAGTGGGACAAGTGATGTTAGACTTTGGGGATGGCAATGAATGACATGAAAGAAAATGTGTTTGAATTGTTGAAGGTAAAGCTGATGATCTGCTCTGTTCAACCTTCACCGAATTCACAAGAAAAAAGGTTGTTTTTTTAATTGTTTGTAGGGGAGGGAATACTCCTTGACATATCCTAAATTAATAATCTCAGAACTTCACTGCCATCAAGTTGATTCTGATTCATAGCGACCCTATAGAGCAGAGTATGATTTCCCTTGTGGATTCCCAAGGCTGTGAATCTGTAAAGGAGAGAGGCTTTCGAGTCTGGTGGCTTTCTACTGATGACCTTGTTAGCAGCCCCCTCAGGGCCACTTAATGATAGGCCTTTTACACTATACACCTTACCTCTACACAAGACTAATACAGAAACCAGTCCTGAAGGACTCCCACAAAAATGTTTAAATGCCCCATTTCTACTGAATCCTGTCCCCTAATTTGCTTCTCATTAGTCACTAATGCCCTATAAGGAGTTTTATGAAGGGGAAAAGTTCCTAGATATAATTTCAGATGCAGAATTCTGACTCTGGTAAAAGAAAGACTTGACTGTCTCATTAAGGGACAATCATTCACAATTACTGTGCACCAGTGGGTTTGGGCCAAGCATGGTTGCCATTATCTCCGTAGTCATTGTCATGTTTCCCTGTAATAAGCTAACACATCCAGAGCTGAATATATGAGGATTAAGCATTTTTTCCTGCTTCTGCTTCTTGAGTGTGAGATGTATAGTTACGAAAACTATGAACCTAAATTCCACAATGTGGACCAATAGCTGTGTTTATCTACGAGTCAATACATAAGTCCTCAAGTCTGCACTCTCTACACATCCTTACTCTCAATGTCTTAAGCAAGGCTCCTCGCAAGTAGACCCCAAGATAAGCATGTATGTGCAACTGATATAATAAGGCACCAGCTCCAAGTCATTCTTGCCTTCCATGCAGGGAAGCTAGGCTGGAATCTTATCCAATGTACCTCAAGCCCATGTATCAGTGGAGTCCTGTGTGTCACTGTAATTCTAAACAAGCATGCAGGACCTTCCATTTTAAAACTAGGAGAGTCCCAGGCCAAACAATGAGTTTGTCAACGAGTGCCAAAAGTCTACCAAAAATAGCATCAGCCTGATACAATGGGTTCGCTGAGGGGTTATGTCAAAAAGTTGGCCCAACCTGAAGCAAGGAAGGTGTGCTTTCATCCTTCTACACCAAGCATTGGTCAAGCACAGCCCGAGGAGAATCCTCTGACATCTGGTGTTTCTACCGCTCCACAAGAGGAGGAAAAGCAGCCTGGTACCCTCCAAGACATAGTTGCAAGTAGGTGTTAAAAGCACACTGAAATAGGAAAATAGAACAAAAGTAGAAAACAACTGGAGAGAGCACAGCATTGTTTGCTAAATCCTGCCAAGACAAAACAAAAAGCCTCTTGAACACTAAAACTATAAACCATTACTAAAAACATTAAAGAATACCAAAGTAAATAAAGACACGTCATGTTTGTGGAGTAGAAGTCAAAATTATTAAGATGACAATATGACCCTAATCAATCTATAGATTCAAAGCAATCCTCATTAAAATTCCCACAGGCTTCATTACAGAAAGGGAAAAGCCACTCATCAAATTTATGTAGAACTGTAAGGAAGCCTGAATAGACAACACTATCTTAAAAAAGAACGTAGTAGGAATAACTCACATTTCCCAATCTCAAAACACCCCAGAAAGCTTCAATAAGCAAAGCAGTATGGTACTGGTATAATGATATACAAATTAACCAATTGTAAATTGTCTAGAAGTAAATGTGTACATGTACGGTCCAGTTGATTTGGCAAAGGTGCTAAGTGGATTCAATGGGGAAAAGAAGAGTCTCTTTAATAAATGATGCTGGGACAATTGGATTTCCAAATGCAAAAGAAGGAAGCTGAACTCCTAGCCCACATCTGAAGATTAACTCAAAATAGATCAAAGAACTAACCATAACAGCTAAAATATTAACTCTTAGAAGAAAAAATATGAAGAGTTCAAGGCCTAGTTGTTAAGACCAGATCCAAATGCATGAACAATAAAGGACAAAAATAGAGAAATGGGACTTTATCAAAATGAAATACTCTTGCTCATCAACGGGTAGAAAGATGGGGCTTTCTACTCCCAAAAAGAGTTGAGTCTTGGAAAGTTACAGAGGCTATTCTGCCCTGTCCTACAGTGTCACTATGAGTCATCATCAACTCAAGGGCAGCGAGTTTGGTTTGGGTTTGATTCATAAATAAATTTTATTAACATTCTCACTGGACAGCCTACAGACTGGGAAAATAATTTTGTAACCATGTGTCTCATAATGATTTAATATTCAGAATATATATGGGGCTTCAAAAAGTTTGTGAAAATATAAAATTAAAAGATAATGAAAAGTTTCCATGAACATTTTGAAGACCCCTCGTATAAAGAACTCCGACAACTCAACAACAAGATTATAAACAGCCTAATGAAAAAAAATGGACAAAGGAAATCACTAGACATTTCACCAGAGAAGAAATACAAATGGCTAACAAGCACACGAAACGCTCAATGTCATTAATCACTAGGTAAATGCAAAGCAAAACCACAATGGCATAGCTCATCCCCACAAATATCACTATGATTTAAACAAACAAACAAAGAGAAAATAACACGTGTTGGCAAGGATGTGAAGACACTGAGACCCTCTTTTATTGCTGGTAGGATTGTAAATTGGTAAAACCACTGAGGAAAAAAGTTTGGTGCTTCCTCAAAAAGATAAACATATAAGTACCATATGACCTAGCAACTTCACTTCTAGGTATATACCCCAATCCTGAAAATTTGAAACCAGGAAGACATACAGATACAAGTGTTATATTATTTATATATATAATAATATATATTGTTTAATATATATTAAACAAATAAATAGTGCTGAAATAAATTATATATATTATATATCTATATATACAAATTGGAAATAACCTAAATATCCATTGGCATATGCATGGACAGACAAGTAGTTATACATATCAATATAGATATATAACTGAATTGTACGTGTCAAATGGAAATTTTATTATATGTCCTCATAGATGTGTGTGTGTATGATTACACATGCCTCAGTTTTTACCTTAGTTACAAAAAATAACTCATCCCTAATATTGTTACTGCACTATGGTTGTTGGGAGTCCTTAAGTCAATTCTGACTCATGGTGACTCTCTGTGACAAAGTAAAACTATCCACGGGGTTTCCATGATTGTGATCTTTATAAGAGCAGCTATCCAGGCTTTTAGTCTAGGGAGCAGCTGGGTGGGTTAGAACTATCAACCCTTTGGTTAGCAAATAAATGCTTAACCATTGTACCACCAGGGATCCTTCTTAGTGAATCAGTCAAGGCACAGACTTCCCGCCACAGATAAAATGGCAGGTATAGGCAACTGTATGTAATGAAAACCACCTGTTGTAGTAAACTTTAGGCACTCAGAGAGCTGGGCGTGACAGCAGGTAACGCCCCCACCCACACCCACACACTATGCCCATCGCCATCGAGTCCATTCCAACACCAGGTAAAGCTTCCATTTCAGTCAGCAGGAACTGAAATACAAAGTGAGACCTCGAAAAGACGCTGTCATTCTCGTGACAAATCCAGCTTGTTAGAAAGGCAAACGATTATACATTTTTTACTGATGAAACATACATTAGCAACCATTGTTGCTTGAGGGATGGTGTTTTTGTAGGAAAAGCTTTATTCTGCTGTAGAAATGCATGGTTTATATATTTTATTGCAAACCGAAGAAATTTGATTAACTACTTAGGAAAAAGAAGCCAGTATTACAAAATAATTTCAGTTTAGTTCTTATCTAGAAACTCATTTAAATGATAAAGAGTACTAAAGCTTGGTTCAATCTTAAGAGGAGGAAGAGTTTTAGAAGGCTCTGGAAAGTCTAATTTGGCAGAAGTAGTCCCATCAGTTTATAAGCCTTCAGTTATTAGTTAGCATATTTCCTTTAGAAACAAGACTGTGAAATGTACAGTAAGTATAGGAAACATTGAAGAGTTTCCAAGGCCATGATTAATCTGTATCCCCATCCTTTAACCAAGAATAACTTATGTATTCAAGAAGAAAAAATAATTTTGTCAAGGACTGTAAAACTACTCCATAAACTAGTGATGGAAAGGATTTAAACATTGTCCTAAATGAATGCTTCGACAGAACTGGGCTAATCACCTTCTCCATGTAGTTTTAAGATTTATGTAAAAGTCAATGAATCATGTAGTATTGAAAGCTGAGGTGTGAGTAAAGAATGTCTCTCTGAATTCAATGACATGGCCCAGTGCATTCAAGACTGGGCTGGATTCTAATTTCCCAAACCTTTTTGTGCATTCTCTAAGTACTTATTGATTGCTTCTTTTAGAATGACTAAACGTATGGAGTACAAAGCCTGCTCTCAAAAGGGAAGACTCCATGTCAGAGTGAAAGGTGACTGAGCTACTCCCTGAGTCTCTTCATTTCTGTTCACCATTATGAATGGTCACAGAATTAGTTCCTAAATTGCTGCTGTCGCGAGGAACCATCACGTCAGTTCCGACTCATACTGACACCGGACAACAGAACAAAACACTGCCATTCTCAGAATCATTGTATGGCTGACCCGTTGTTGCAGGTGCCCTGTCAAGCCGTCTTGTCAGGCTCTTCCTCTTTTTCCTTTACCAAATGGGATGCCTTTTTCCAAGGCCTGGTTCATCGTACAGGAGATGAAGTTACACCGTCTCTTACTTCTAAGAAGCATTCTGGCTTTATTTCTTCAAAGACAGATTTGTTTCTTCTTTGGCATTTCATAGCATGTCTTTTCAATAACCTGCGCCAACACCAGAATCCAAACGCATCAATTCTTCCGGGATCTTCCTTATACATTATCCAGCTTTCGCATGCATATGAAATGATTGAGAACATCATGGCTTGTGTCATGTTCCCCTTAGTCCATTATTAACAATCATCTAAGTTACAAAATTAGCAAGGTTTTGTTCATTTCCTCTCCCCAAACTGTTTTAAAAAGGAGCCTTGGAGTTCTGGTCAGTTATACATTAGGCTGCTAACCACAAGGTCAGCAATTGGAGATTGCCAGTCATTTCAAGAGAGAAAAATGAGGCTTTCTGCTCCTGTAAAGAGTTCCAGGCTCAAAAACCCTACAGGGCAGTTTGACCCTGGCCTATAGGGTCAGTGAGTCAAAATTGACTGGATGACAATGAGTGAAACCACTATAAACCCAGCTCCAAAATGTATGGCTATTTGAGGGTGGTCAAACAGCTACAAATGTTAAAGCGCCGGACTGAAAGATTAGTGTTTCTAACCCATCAGTGGCCCTGTGAGAAAAGAGACCACATAAAGAGTTGTTGTGGCTAGGTGCCCACCCTCGAGTTGGCGCCAACTCCTAGCAACCCTCTGTACAATAGCATGAAACACTACTTGGTCCTGCACCCTCCTCACAATTGCTGTTCGTGTTAAGTTTGAGCCCATTGTTGCAGTCACTCTGTCAGTACATCTCATGGAGAGTCTTGCTCTTTTTGGCTGACCCTGTACCAAGCAGGACGTCCACTTCCAGGGAGTGGCCTCCTGATCACACGTCCAAAGTACATGAGACAAAGTCTCACCACCCCTGAATCTCGGGAACATTCTGTCTGTACTTTCCCCAAGACAGATTTGCTCATTTTTCTGGAGGTGCATGATACTTTCAATCTTCTTTGTCAGCATGAAGACTATATTTCAGGAAAACCTAAGACAGTTCTGCTCTGTCACTTGTAGTCATAATGAGTCTGAATCAAAGCCACAGAACACAACAACAACACAACTGCTAAAATGTCCACAGCCTTTGACATTAAGAACTTTGTATTGAGAGAACGAACTATGGTAGGCAACCATGGACAAATGAAAGCACTTTTAACCCTGTAAACCTGGACATGCCTGTCACAGGTTGCATTTCCTGGGAAGCAGACTCTGAAACAGAGTTGTCTGTACAGAGGTGCAGAATGTTTATCGGGATGTGTTTTTAGGAGGGATGAGATAGAAGTGGGAGCGAATAGAGGGAGAAGCTGAGCTGAGAGACAGTCCCAACAACAGACTCAGCTCACCCTATGGAAACATCTAAATCTGGCCTGGCCACCCACAGCTGTCCTGAGTTGAGAGAAGGGGTAAGTCAGTATTCCATACCTTTATGACAGCAGTCATTTGGCATAGATCACTCAGGAAGATGTATGCTCTTGGGTGAGGTAGTTCTATGCAGCTGATTGAGTGCCCAAAGAGTGCTGACAGATGAAGATAATCTTTCCACAGCTCTCTCAGGAAGCCTCTTATTCATAAAAGGGTCTTTTATTCTTGACAGCATCCACCATAATATCCCAATGAGAATTATAAAACGCATTTCATAATACATACTAAGAATTCAGAACAATGAGAGGGATAGGCTAGAAGAAGGTGAGGCTAATGATTGTATTTGAAAGGACACACTCCCTCTGCAAGATCTGGAAGTGAGGTTGGGTAGAGTTCTGACCAAATAAAAAGCTAACATGTTTTAACGAAGACACCAAGGGGAGACCAGGTGTTCAGGAGTGAAGGGCTGTGGTAGCAAAGAAGGCAAGATGGGTCCACGGGTGACAATAAGATTGGCTTTACCGCATGGACATAGCTCATACCCACTGACTGCTCCTCAGGAGAAAGATGAGATTTTTTTTGTTGCTATCCTATAAAATCACTAGGATTCAAAATGGACATTATGGCAGTGAGTGTGGGTTTGGGTTTTGTGACAAAGACCTAGAAAACCTAATGGAGCAGTTGCACTCTGACACATGGGGTTACTATGAATGAAAAAGGACTTGACAACACACATTACCCACCAACAGGCGGGAAGTTAGTATTTCACTGGAAAGTTTTCTCTGTGGAGCGGCCATTAGAGGTGAGACCTAGCAGTCTTATCCACAGGAAATGGGTAAGAAAAAGCATACCTGCTCCCTCCTCAAAAAAGAACAGCATATTGAATTCCTCAGAAACAAAAATACATTGGGTTGTAGAGTTTGTACTTAACAAAAAGAGGAGCTAGCTGCCAAGATCTAGAATCACCACATTCAATATTTGTCTTCATTATTGACATCAACGATAATAAAGATGGATCAATTGATTACCATTTTTAAATTCGAAATTGCAGTACTGAGATTTAAAAGTCTAGATGGAAAAGTCATATTCTACTCAACATGGTCAGAGCACATCTTAAAGAATAAAATTTAGGGAGAGAATTTTGTGGGAAATAAAATAATTCGTATGGAAAATTGATATACATATAATAAAATTGCCTCAATAACATTCAAACTCTTCCCTTGCAGGGTTATGAGCCAGATCCCAGTATAACAAAGTTGGCAGAGCAGTATGCCAAGGAGGTATGCATGCACCTTATCTGTAAAGCTACATTTACCTTTCTCTGCTCTGTGAAGGTGTTTAACTAATACACTTATGTGTGCTAGAATGGTACCAAGCTGTCATTGACAAACGATCCATTGGAAGCAGCGCGTGGAGGCAATGTATTAATTACAGACACTTGGATCAGCATGGGACAAGAAGAGGAGAAGCAAAAGCGCCTTCAGGATTTCCAAGGTTACCAAATTACAATGAAGGTACAAATTGTAGCCTCTCTGAAAGTTCATTAATCCCATTCATAAAAGCCAGAACTATCTAATCATTCATTCACTTTGGGGAGAGTCAATTGACTTTTCACTTCCTATGGAGGACTTCCTGTCTGTGCACTTCCTTCCAAAGATTCGTTGTGTCCTTTGAAAAGACACTTTGGTGCTAGATGAAGAAATTTGAAACCTGAAGTCAAAACGAGAGCTGGTGTCTCCCTCTCAGGACACTGTAGGGATTGAAATGCCTTCCTCTTTATGTGTTTAGAAAGATCAGGTTACTTCGGATTTCCTCTAAGAAAATTCCCATGACTATTCTCTTCACGTGAGTCCTTGCCTCCGTTTGTTAAGGACTCCGAAATCCTTTATCCAATCTGAAATTTCTTATTAAGATTTGCTGAAGTGGTTGTCAACCTTGAACATGCATCAGAATCACCTGAAAGGCTCCTTGAACGCTCAGGTGACTGGGCCCCAGCCCCAGGGTTTCTGACTCAATAGATCAGGGGTGGGTCCCTAGAATGTGCATTAGCCAGGTCTATTCTTAGAGAACCACTGTCTGGAGGAAAACCCAGGTGCACACAGGGGCCTAGGGAGGGTCAGGAGCACCTAGGACACGCTCAAAATTGCCCCTTCTCTGATTCAAGGTAGAATATATGTGGATAGAGGCAACATATCAGTAGAAATGCCTTCCTTCCCCTCTTTGGCTGGCTGCCTCGGTGGAGCGCTCTTCATATTTGTAGTGCCTCTAAATGAAATGCCATGCTTTAGCTGGAACTCCCTTTGACTTGCACCTGGGGGGCATATGTTCCCCTTACACCCCCCTCGATATACTATTGAATGTCTACTTTGTGGAAGAACACTGGGCCGAACTGGCGTAATAAACATGACTCCGTGGTACGGCGCCCACGCCCCTGCTGTCAAGTGGCACAGAGGGCACGTGTTGTAAGTACTATACCCTGCTACTCCTCCAGGTGCTCTGGGGTTTTTCTTAGCAGATACGCGTATCTGTTTTGTGGAAAAGAGGATGAAGTATTACAATAAATATTTTATTAATAAAGTAATACATAAACACGCATCCTTTATTTTTAAAGTGTACAAACAAAATGAGTCTTTGAACATGCCACTTCCCCCAGTCCCTTAAGCGAGACTCTTCTTAGTGGCAGCTACCATTTAGCAGTTTGAGGTGCTTGTCTGTATAGTCACATATATATGCCTATACATGCATGCTTGTGCACACACACAACTATTGATTTTTTTTTTAATTCCTTTACTGAGGGCTCCTACAGCTCTTATAACATTCCATACATCAGTTGTATCGAGCACATTTGTACATATGTTGCCATCATTATTTCCAAAACCTTTTCTACTTGAGTCCTTGGTATCAACTCTTTTTTTCTCCTCCCTCCCACACCCTCCCACCCTTGTGAATCCTTGATCAATTATATATTGTTATTATTATTTCATATCATACACTCTCCTTTGTCCCCCTTCATCCACATTTCTGTTATTTGTCCTTGAATTTTTTATGAGTGGTATTTTAGATAACTAACAACAAAGTTAGACAGCATATTAATACTTTTTTTTTTCCACTTCACAAATCTTGGTTTTTTTTCTTGCCCATTTATTTAAATGGCTGCATAGCATTTCACAGTATGAGTAGATCATACCTTAATTTAAAATTCCCTGTAGGCAAATCAGATTGTTTCCAGTTATCCAACATACAAGCAATGCTGCAACAAACACCCCTATACATATTTATTTGTGCATATATTACTAAAGACTAGATTTCTGGAAGAATTGTTTTTGGGTGAAATGGCATACATTTTTGAAATATATGAAATGCTGCTGAATTTTTCATCCAGCAAGGATAAAAATTCATAATCCCACCCTGTGCATTAGAGTTCTTTCCCCACATTCTCTCCATTCTTATTTCCATTTAAAAATTTTGTGAATCTGAAGAAAAAGTGGTCTCATGCTTTTGAAATTTTATATTTTCCTGATTGTTAGTAAAGTTAAGGAGCCCTGATGGTTTAATGGGTTATGCCTTGGTGAGCAGTTCGAAACCACCAGCTAAACCACAGAAAAAAAATGAGGCTTTCTACTCCCTTAAAGAGCTACGGTCATGGAAACTACAGTTTGGGGGCAGTTCTACTCTGTCCTATGTGGTCCCTCTAGGTTCACTATGAGTCAGAATTGATTTGATGGTGATGAGTTTGGTTTTGTGTCAAGTTACTTATATTTTCATTTGTATTGCTGTTTCTAGTTTTCTATAGCTTGCTATCATATCCTTTGCCTGTTTTCTTTTGGGACATCATTTTTCTCAGTGGGGCTAGGAGTGCTGTATATATTATGGCTAATTCTTTGTCACAAGTGTAGCATATGTTTTCAAAAAGGACTCTTGTCAGTTTACTTTTTGGAGAAATATATACAGAGGGAAGCCGACTCACATTCTTCAGATTCTAGAGATAATGTTCTGTGATAGTGTTGACATTCATCATATTGTATCCGTTCTAGTTGTTTCACTTTATTTCCGTTCTCTTTATTTCCGTTCTAGTTGTTTCACTTCCCTTTACTTTTGGTCCTCTTGCCCCCTATTTACCCTTTTGCTTTACATATATATCATGATACATGTACACTGTTTTTTATATATACAGTGCTAAATATATATATGTATATATATGAAACACATTGTTTAATGATTAGAATCTTTATTCTTTGAGCTAACCTGTTAACTTAGTTTGAAGGTGACTTCAGGGGACAGTTTCAGTTACAGGTTATCAAACCTTGACTAAAGTAGGGATATAGTCTTAGGGACTTCTCCAGCCTCAATAAAGTTAGTAAATTTGGATTATTTAAGAATAATCAATTTCATAATAATTCCCCATTTATCAGGATCCCTATTTTGTGTTCCTGATCAGAACATTTAGTAGTAGTAGCCAGGCACCATCTAGTTACCATTTCCTATAGTTCTTTCTCAGATTCTTGGATTTCTTTCTTTCTCTTCTTTTTCAAGATGCATAAGACCAATAGTTGTATGTAAGGAGAACATTTGAATCCTCTGTGCTTTACCTCAGACTTACTTTGCGCAATTCTAGGTAGTAATTGTGCAGTAAGAATGTATGATGGACTATAATTCTGAACCTGTAAGAGAACAATGTTAATAGATAGAAAATGTAATTTTTAGAACTAACTCCTAGGAAAAATGAAAATTGCTGGCACATTTTCAGTAAGAGTAAAACTTTTATCAGTGCATAGTACCCCAATTTCTGTGTAATGCATTTATTTCTTGGTACAATTTTTTTCAAAATTGTATTAACTGATGACTATGTATGCCTCAAGGACTAAAAACCTTAATTTGGAGATGAGGTTTAAATATAAAGCAATCTTATAAAAGCAACTGTGTGTGTGTGTGTGTGTGTGTGCAATTTGTAACTTTTGCTATAAGCCACCTGTTACACTGGTAGTAGAATTCCTTACTGAAATATTCACTATCCCACTGGACAGAATACCAGAAGTTTTGATTGGTGGTTTAACTTGGAATGATGTCCTCCCCACCTCATGCCTCCAAAAATGTATATTAAATGCCATAAATTCAAAGTTCCATGTAAATTTCCCCTGGTTTCTTTAAACTGAAACTCTCATTCTACCCCCTTGTCTCTCCTTTTTGTATTGGTCTCTGACCTCAGGCCATATGTACTTTTAAATATCGTAGTAGACAAATGTGATCTTGGCTTGTCCCCATCTCTCTTTAGACTGCTAAAGTTGCTGCCCCAGACTGGACATTTTTACACTGCTTGCCTAGAAAGCCAGAAGAAGTGGATGATGAGGTGTTTTATTCTCAGCAATCACTGGTGTTCCCAGAGGCCGAAAACAGAAAGTGGACCATCATGGTAAGCAGGAAACGGGGAATGAAGACTTCCTATGCCTCTTGATAAATAAAAATCAACTGAGATCATCTAGCTATATATTTTTATTCAACTGAGATCTCTTTTCCCTCAGAATATTCACAATAGATAATTATTGTTTGTTAGTATTTATGGTATCTTTTAATGGTGGAAAATTGATACCATTCTTAACAATTTCTTTTTATCAAAATTGTCAATACCCTTGATCACCCTGAATAATAGTCATCACTGACTCCCATTCATTTTGAGATGTGCATTTTTTCTTTCAGAATGTCTTTGTTTATGCTTATAAAAATCTTTAATTCCATTTGCCACAAAATGGGCTTTTAAAACCCTTATTTCCTGCCTCCTTTCATTGTTTCTTTTATGACTTGTTCAGACAATTGCTTAAGTTCACTACTTGATTTTTGGTTATAAAGATACATATAAGTATGAGAGGGCTTCAAAAATTGTGGGCAAAATATAATTGAAATATAATGGAATTTATCCATGAACTTTTTGAAGCCCCTTCATATAGAGCATTTCCAGAATGCACAGCAAAGCAAATTTAAAACTGACAGGTCCCATTAAGATTAAACTACTAATTGTATCATCACCACTGCCATTCTATAAAATATTAACCTTAAGTCTGTACTTTACAATATCCCAAGTGTTATCATCATCTCTAGACAATGGAATAGCCACAGGTCATAATCTAGCTCTACCATTCTATAGTTTTCAATGATTTGATAACTGATCTCGATTACTTGACCAGCCAGCGTATTGCTCACAGATATGAGTCCACTGTAGGTAGATCAATGAAAAGGAATTTATTAAAAGACATTAAGGTGGTCCACGAATCTTTCAGGAACAGGGGTACAGCCCTTGGACACTAAGCAGACAGGAACAACATGGACAGGAAAATGTTCCATCAACATCGTGGTTCTTTTGCAGCCAAAACAACACTGACATAGTTACCCATCATCTGTGAGCTAGATTCGTGAAACTAGATGTCAGATCATCCATATACAGCTGCCCCAGGTGAACTACATGCTCTGCCTGCATAAAGACAACAACAAAAAAAACACAACCCATCACTACCATCAAGTAAATTCCAATTTACAGAAACTTTTCCATAGGATAGGGTAGAATTTTCCCCGTGGGTTTCCAAGTCTGTAACTGTGTTACTGTTTATGAGAGTAGAAAACCTCATCTTTCTTCAATGAAGCAGCTGGTGGTTTTGAACTGCTGACCTTGCTGTTAGCAGCCCAATGCAAAACCACTACACCACCAGAAGAGGTAATTTCCCAGAATATGGTTTTCACTGTGTGTTATCACTTACACATCCAGATCTTGAATAGATGCACCCATTGGCAACCTTGCCTATACTACCTGAAAGGGAGTCTGAGAATGGCCATTTTAAACTTTCAACTTTGGGACTAGAGAAAAAAACATCTGGAAAGTAGTATCGATGTACTTGTACACTGGCCGGTATATGAGGATAGGGTTGTTGTGAGTATTCAAATGCGAAAACTTTAGCACAGTGTCTAACCAAACCAAAAATGACCAAACCCACTGCCATCGAGTCCATTCTGACTCACAGTCAGCTCCTCTGAGAATTCTCATGGGAGCAGAAAGCTTCCTGTTTCTCATGCAGAACTCCTAGCGATTTTGAACTATGGACCTTGTGTTAGCACCCAACACCTCACCCTCAGAGCTATCTGAGCCCCTTCCTTGGACGATTGCAGCCTAGAACATCCTATGAGGCAGTTCTATGCTGGCTATAGGGTTGCTTTGAGTCAGAATTGACTAAGCAGCATACAGCAATAACAGGAACCTTGTCAGAGCAGCACTAAGAATCACTAGGTCTGAGATGGGGATACACGACCCTGCATTTATAAGAAGCTGTAGGTGATGCCAATGATCCAGCCACTGCCATCCTGTGAACCACATTCTAGGGAGCAATGATTTAGACACCACCACCACCCCTCAAAAAAAAGGTGAGCTCTCAAATTAGCATGGTTCCATTCAAATAACATGCATTAGATGTTTTTTAAATTTTGTTTTTGCAAACATCAAAGTCCTCTTACCTGTTCGTTTCCTGCACATATCATACACATTATATATTGTTCTTAGGTGTCCGTAAATCGGTTCCTACTCATAGCGATCCTGTCTGTGTACAACAGAACTGAACATTGCCCAGGCTTGCTCCACCCTCACAATTGTTCTGTTGGAGCTCGCTGCCGTCGTCACTGTGTCAATCCATCTCCTTGGAAGTCTTCCTGTGTTTCAATGACCCTCTACCAAGCAAGATGTCCTTTTTCCAGGGACTGGGCCCTCTTGATAACATAGCCAAATTATGTGAGACCAAGTCTCATCACCCTTGCTTCTAAGAAATATTATATGCCCATGTGTTATTTGCATGGGCATGTTACATGCCAAAATACAGTACATACCCCAGGAAAAGACATAAAACTATGGAGGGTTCATGATAGTGAAGAATTGAGTCAATTCAGACTGAAAGGTGAGTCTCTAAGCTGAGCCTTTAAATCTTTATTGGGAGCACACAGGCTTTCTCCCTTGGGGTGGCTCATGGCATTTGGAACTGACAACCTTTTGGGTCGCAGCCCATAGCATAAACCACAGCACAACTAGGGCTCTTTTAGAAAGAGACATAGCAGTAAAAATTCCTCCAGTTCTATAATTTTATCAACCACCAATTTTCTTTATGGCGCAATAGTCTCTCCTGTATTTTCTATAGATTTCCACCTCTTACAGTAAATAAGAGTATTGATGCACTTAAACCACTCAGCACAGTATCTGACATGTGGTAAATGTTCAAGAAATCCAATCAACAAACCCCTTTGACATATGAGGCATGCACTTCAGGTATAGCTTGAGCACATGTGTGCAATATGGTTGAAAGGTAAGAGCAAATACCTGAGAGGCAACACACCTACACCTCTTAAGAATGGAGCCAGAAAAACCTAGATTCTAATCCAGTTCTGTACTATCTGTCAGTTCAAGGATTTGTTTCTTCGTCTATAAAGGACAATGATAGAAGCAACTTTAGAAGACTGAAGCAATGCATATCCCTTTCTCCTCACTCACTTGCCCCCTAATAATGATTGGTACTTAGCACCCAAACTCAAACCAAACCCACTGCCATTGTTGGAAGGGAGAAAACCAAACCAAAACCAAACTAATGGCAATTGACTGGATTCTGACACATGGCATCCTTTATAAGGCAGGTTAGAACTTCCCATTTTGGATTTCCGAGACTATAAATATTCACAGGCGTAGACAGCCTCATCTTGCTCCCACCAAGCAGCTCTTAGGTTTGAACTGCTGACCTTGTGGTTCTCAGTTCAGTGTGTAGCCCACTGTGACATCAGGGCTCTTGCAGGAGAGAAGAGACCCAAAATCCAAATACAAATATAAATTATAGAGACATATTTATTAAGTCTTAAATAGGACAAAGACAAAACAAAAATTGTCTGATTGAGGTCATAATGGTGTCCATAAGGAACTGTAGAAACTCAGCCAATTATGTATGACATGGAGTACAAGGGAGGCTACCACAAAAGCATAATTGGTGGCAGTTCATTATATCCCAATGGCAGGTGGACCTACAGACTCGGGGATGGGACTAGGATTGGGATACATACACTCTTCTAGATAGAAAAGCTTGCAAGATTGGTTGAGAGCCCTCCCTCCATCCAAGGCAGACAGGCTATGACTCATGCTTCTGCAACCCTAGTTTCCACGATTCCATTAAGAGCACATCTAGGCAAGTCCTTCAAGCATATGTTGGCCACCACTCTCTGGCTACGGGGATGGAATCCACTTTCTACCACACTCTGCCTGAGGACAAAGCTGGTCACATTGCTGGATAATACTTAAAATGAATTCGATGAAGCCTGAATCTATGCTAAGGCTCAAAAAATGAATTTAGGACTTTCACTGTAAACATAAGTTCCACAGCCTCATCTTTCTCCAACAGAGCTGCTGGTGGTTTCATGCTACTGACCTGGTGATTCGTAGCCCAATGTCCAAGTCCCTGTGCCACTGGGGCTGCTTTAAGTAACCAATACCAGAGTATAAACATGAGGAACTGGGGTGGGAGGCTTATGTTCTCTAAAAGCAACCAGTATTTACATTACACTCATGACTGGAAAACCCAAGCAGGCTACCATTCTCCCACCTAAAAGTGTTGGCATGAGGCCTAACTAAACACTGTGTTTGTGTTTCTATTTACTCCAACCTAATTTCTCCTTAGGCACCCTGATGGCATAGAGGTTAGCAGTTCAAAAACACCAGCTGCTTTAAGGGAGAAAGATGAAGCTTTCTATGCCAATAAAGATTTGCAGCCTCAGAAACCCACAAAGACGGTTCTGTCCCATGGGTTGCTATGAGTCAGAGTCAACTCAGTGGCAGTGAGTTTGTGTTAGTCTACGTAAACTAGGGAAACAAATCCACAGAAACTCATATGTGTAAGAGAGAGTTTTATAGAAAGTGTAATTGCACATTAAGAAAGCATCCCAACCCAGTGCTGCCCAAGCCCATAAGTCCAACATTAGCCCATAGGTCCGACACCAATCTACAAAGTCTTCCTCCATCTCACAAAACACACCAGTGATGCCGACTGCAGGAAGAAAGCCAAATCACCGAGTGTGTAAGCATCTCAGTGCTGGCAGGGGTCTCCACACGGCAGCTCCAGCACCCAGGGCTGCATCAGGGTAGGTCCATGTGGCTTCTCCTCAGGGATGTCTTGCAGGAAGTGAGCCTTGCCAGCGAAAGCAGGGAACTGGCTAAGGCAGCTGCACCCTGGTCCGACCATCACAAAGCAAGAGACCCGAGAACTAGAAAGGCGAGGCTCATCGAGCCATTTATCTCTCTGCCCTTCAATTAACCCCACATGTGTTTATCAGCCAGGTGGCACAATAAACCTTGACCATTTCAGAGTATAATTTCTCTTGACTTTTCTTTAACAAAATAAATAAATAATAGTTCAGAATTTCCCTCTTATCATTTCTTTGGGAAACCAAATTTTAATCGTGGACTTTCAAAACTGCACACTAGTTCTCCTTCCCTGGGTCCCTGCACAAACTGTTGCTAATGTTTATTCATTTCTTCCTCTCTCTTTCTTTGTCATGTTCTCCCAGGCTGTCATGGTGTCCCTCCTGACAGATTACTCACCTCAGCTCCAGAAACTGAAATTCTGATGCCATGGTGCTTGTCAAGAGAGAAGCAATGTTCTTCAGTTCTACAATCAGTCGCTTTCTAGAGGAGGAAGAGAATGGTGGAAGAAGAGAATCTAACAAATAAATTCCCAATACAATACATATCATGGGTGAATTGCATGACCTCGCTTTGCTATTATAAAATTGTGCTGCCGTCCTTAAACAAAGTAGTGTTGATGCACTGTAATATGTAATTTGATGTGGTTCAAACTCTCTAATTTACAATTTCCTAGCCGTATCTGAATATTGTATTAGTAATTATGCACATTTGCTTCAGCCAAACATAAAATACTGTATTCATAATACATAATGTCTAAGCCATTAAAAGTAATCTATGCTCATTACCTTAATAAATTATCACCCATGCTAATTTATAAGTAAACATTTAATAGGCAGTCAGATACTGGTAGATCTGTGGGCTGTGTTCATGTCCCTAAGGCCCAACAAGGAAGCCAAACGATCCATCTTACAGACGGAGTACAATTTCCAGACCAGTGAAGGAAACAGACATTCACTTGTGGAGGAAATTGAAATTCTTAGGAAACAGCTACCCCTGTGCACAAATGCTGAAGGCTTTCCTATAACCAGTCGGAGGAAGAGTCCTTCCAGCCCAAGCAGCTCTTCTTTGTAATGAATACTTCCCATGACAGGTCTGAAAAAGCCTTTCTGACTAAGTGGGGAAAACATAAATGCCTGGATAGGAACGTAAGATCGACAGGAGAGTGACATGTTCTCAAGTTCAAATTCCCTTGCAGAAGCACTTACATTTTTTCATGTTTGTGCTTATCGTGCATCTACTTACATCTAACACTGCATATTTCCAAAAATATACTGCTTCCCTCCTTTTAGCAGATTTTTTCTGATTTTCTTCTTCTAAATCATTTACTGAATTGATATGATGTAAGAAAGATTAGATTGCACTCCTGGGTGTCCACAATGTGTATTACTGAATTATGAAGATCAATTTTTATTTTATGTTTTAGTTAAAATGTTAAATAGCCTAAGGGAAACTTTAAAATAAACTAAAGCATATTCTACAGAGGATAAGAAAGTAAAATCCTTCATAAAAGTAACTTCTGCTAGTATACAAATATTTTCATACTGGTTGATTGATATTCCTCAACAGACAGCTATGAGTTAAATGAGCAAGCAAGAGATGAATTACAAATGAGATTTTCAATGAAGATGCAATAAAACCTGATTTGTGGGGCGGTGGTGGGAAGGACTAGTCATACGATAGACGAAAAACCAAATTTTTTCAGTACTTGTCAAAAGTGACTTTCACTTCTCTAGTAATTTATTGGAAACATTTTAAAAAGAGAGAGTACTTGATAAAAGACATCGTGTACAGACTGAAAATGGTCCATTGTGTCACCTACCCTCATATGCTGCCCTTGAGTGTAGCCCCTAACAAAACTAGGCTGTCTCAAACCGCTGGTAATAGAATTGTTCACCTTTATACCAAGAAGGCTGGTCAAGTACCCAAATCTGCATGTAGCATACACCTGGGTCAATTTCGAGAGGGCCGTGCAGTGAGACCTAAAATTCCCATGAAGTGATTAAAAAAAGAACAGGGACTCTCTGGTGGTTCCATGTGTAGGATAAAAACTACCAGCGAGTGGATTCCAACACACAGTGACTCAGTACAGGCTTTCTGAGGCAGCAAACCTTTATCATAGCAGATCATTGCATCTTACACATCTTGAGGAGTGGCTCGTGGATCAGAAGCACTGACCTTGTAGTTAGCAGTCCAAAGCTTACCCGACAGCACCAATACAGCGCTGATATATCATACATAACCAAAAGTAAACAGGTGATTTAACAGGAAGATACTCGGGATTGTGGAAGTGCTCCCTCAAAGTAGCCACTTTGAAAAGATAGACCCCTTTGTGTCCCTCCACTTAACCAACGCGCATCCATAGTAATGAGCTCTCAGCTTTTTGCTGGCCATGTTCTGAACCAAATGGACGGTCTCATCTTCTTCATTCAATAAGATATGACTTGTTATTTGTGATTATCCCCCCCCATCATGTAGTCATTCTAAAAATAAATCCCTCAAAGTATTCCATACTATGATTATTAAAGTGTACACATTTCAGCATCTTCCCTAACCCAAGCTAGCAGGAATATATTTGTTTCTTAGCTTCTCATCTTAAAAAGATCTGATTTATATTGATATTATTTTCTTCTGTGTTACCAGGACAAAAGAAAACAGACAAGAAAATTGAAAGCATGATTTTTGCGGAGCTGTTTTCCTCCCCTGTCCCTTCTGATCCTTTTCTCCCTTATTCCCTTTCCACAAATCATTGCAGGATGCAAGCACTGCAACTTCAGTGATCACGTTCAATGTCAGCAATAACCCTTAGAGTCTCTGATGAAAAGAATAGCTCCTATTCAGTTAATGAAGGAGCCCTCCCAGTATAGTTGATTATACCTTGCGCTACTAACCCAAAGATCAGCCATTTAAACCCACCAGTTCTAGTCTGCTCTATAGGGTCGCTATGAGCTGGAATTCACTAGATGGCAGTGGGTGAGTATTCAGTTAACGAAAATAACTAGGCAACGAATTTATTTCAGTCTTTTTTCACTGTAACAAAGATAGATGAAAGATCAAGAAAAAATTACACTGCAATAATCTCAGTGCTAGGGAAGAATTATTAGTTGCTTATTTTCAGTGATAAGGTTCCAAGAACTTAATAACAACAATAATGTACTGTCAATTCTAATGGATAGTCTGTGATTGATTGATTATTATAAAAGTAAAGTCCAAGACAGAAAGATCTGCAGTAACCATCAGCATGGCAGTTCCATACTGGACCACCTACAGGAACGACTCGAGAACTCAGCAGGGGTATCTTGTTTCAATGCCAATGTTCCAAGGCCAGCCTTTCCATGTAATAACAAGAAATGAAGCATAAATATACTCAGACAGGGTCTTCAGAACACATTCTCCTTGATTTTATTTGTCTTAGAAACTCTTAGCAGTCACACCACAATGATCAGACTCCTACCATCAGAAACCTTGCCTTCTCCCATGTGAGGGCCCAGGTGCAGGAAATGGGTAGGGGTGGAAATCTGGTCTTTTTAGGCACTATGTCTTATATCTCTTCGTAGGTCTTACTTCCAGGAGAAATGTGTGCCTTTTTGTAATTTTTCCACCCAGAGGGGACACTTCTTAGTATTTCACAAGCCTAAATAGGTGCTTGGTTTTAAGTCACACAAAAGGCCAGTATTTCATAAATGAAGTCCTCCCTTTCAACAAATTACATCAGGACCTTTTCAATACCACCTTGAACTTGAGGACAATGTAGCACAGAAGACAAGTCCGTGATGGGTTTGGTTTGTTGTCTCAGTTTCTGACACAAATGCTTCCAGGCCTGCCTCAAAAAGCTATTGCTGTTGGTGTTAGGTGCCAGCTAGTTGGTTGTGACTCGTGGCAACACTACATACAACAGAAGGAAACACTCTCCAGTCTTGTGCCACCCTCACAACTGTTATGATCGAGTCCATGATTGCAGATACCATGTCAATCCATCTCATCTAGGGACTCTCCCTTTCTTCTTGCCCTTCTACTTGATAAAGCATGATGTCCTTCTCCAGAGATTGGTCACTCCTGATAGCATGTCCAAAATATGGGAAATGAAGCCTCTCTATCCTCATTTAAAGGATCACGCTGGCTGTACTTCTTCCAAGACAGAAATGATAGTTTCTGTTCATATTTGTGGGAGAATTATGAGGGAGCCTCAAAAAGCTCCTAAGAAAATCCCTTTATCTTTTCATTCCATTTCCCCACAAACCTTTGGAAACTCCCTCATACATATCACAGGTCATTGCAGGGAGGATTCAAGAATGAACTTCACAATTCTATTATATTTTGAATTATTCCCTAATAATTATAAAAATGAATATCAGTTATGGATGAAAGAGATCTTGGTCAGAAGAAATGGAAGTGAGTTTCCTGATATGTGCTAACCCCTTTTACAGTCTTATAGGGGATTTATTTATGCCAATGGCACAAGCCTTAGTTTCTAATCAAAACTTTTGTAAAATTCATTCCCCCAAAAAATCTGAGCATGATAACTGCTTTCTGAAACAAAATCATTAGGTAAATGAATGTTTTAAAAATTAGAATGGTATTGAGAAACAATCCTCTCTATTATTTTATTTTACAAAAAAAAACAACCTAGGAAATTACACTAAAATGTTCCCAGTGTAGAAATATCTTCAATAAGGAGAGGTAACTCACAACCTTCTGCAAACACTCTGGAATCTTATCAGTGTACTCACATGATTTGATTGACCTTATCGGCCAAGTGAGGAATGGAAAGCTGTCTGGTTAGAGAAGACAGGGTGGTCCAAATAGCTTTTGTAAAAATAGAATTAAAATATAATGGAATTTTTCAACACACTCTTTGAAGCTCCATTGTATGGTTTTCAGTGACACCATAGAAATAGACAACTTCACACCCAAGGCAGGAATGGACACTGATAACCAGAAGTATGGATAGAGACAAAAATATACATACACATAGTAGATGCTGTTGGTGTATCACACAGATCCCTGTTACCTGTGTTCACCCATCCCCTAGATTCTGTCAGGGTCAGCAGCTAATAGCTGATGGCTACCCTTTTCTCTGAAGATTTGCTCTCAGGTACCAGGAGCTACTTTGCTAAGATGTTATACTTTTACCTTCACCACACCCCCAGCCGGCCATAGTCAATGAGTGACTGATAGGAGTACAAAATGGTGGCTACCTTGTCACAAACTCCACTGCCATTGAGACAATTCCAGTTCATAGCTACCCTATGGTTCAGCATAGAACTGCTCCATAGGATCTCCAAGGTTGTAAATCTTTACAGAAGCAGACTGTCACATATTTCTCCCACGGAATGCTTTAACTACTGTGTCTCCAGGACTCCTTCCCCTTCCCTCCATGTAGGGCCACATCTGTTATGGAATTCGCGCTCCAGAGTGCCCCATGCGATCTGTGAATTTGTCTTCCTTTGCGACCACATCCTTGCTTAGTCGTTTTCTCCTGTTCCTACCTACTACCCTCATTTTTCTTTTCCAGAGACAATTTCCTCAATCAATCACTATTTTATCAATACATGACCCTTTGTAAGCTCTGCTTCTTGGGAGCCTGGCCTAAGATAATCCATGAATAAGGTATAGGGGTGGGGAGGGGGTTCTGTGCTGACCTGCTAGTTCTTTGCACATCAAGGGAGATGGGAGGCCATTACACAAATGATGAGGAACTTGTGCTTAGCAAGCAAAGGGAAAATAATCCACTTACCATGTTCTGCCTTCCTTAGAAGACAGCAGTGTTATAAATAACAAATATAATTTTCCTGTCAAATGTTCAAATTCATAACAAGGAATTTATTACCTACACAGAATAGGAGTGAAACCAATTTACTTTTGTCATATATGTGGACACCTGGGGTAACTAACACAATAGGTCTGATTTATTCTTGTGATATTTGAACAGCCTTACAGATCTGCAGTGCGGACAGCTCTGCAGTTAGTCTGCCCCGAGGCTTTGTTGGCATACTTCCGTGGTTCTCTACCTTTAGCATGCATCAAAATCACCCGATGGTCCAAGGAATACACAGACTGCTGGGCCCCACTCAGAGTTTAATATTTAGCAGGTCTCATTAGAAGAGGTTAAAAAAATCTGCATCTTAAAGAAAGGAGCCACCCTTTGAGATTCACTGACCTGAGGCAATTCTGACAGCATGTCTTTGGTAATTTCATACCTATGTCCATAACATTTTACACAATCAAGATTGTCTAATTTGTCATTGGTTCACAGAGTCTTCATCTTCACTCCTCTGCTCTGGAGCATCTAGCTAACCCTGAACTCCTCTGTCAGAAAGCCACTGCCATCTAGTCGATTCCAACTCATAGTGACCCTATATAGGGTTTCCAAAAGTGTAAATCTCTATGCGAGTAGACAGCCTTTTGTTTCTCCCTAGGAGCAGCTAGGAATAAATTATGACAATATTTTAGGCATTAGCAAACACCTTGAGGGAATGATTCCTTGGACCCCGGGGTTAAGGACCATAGCCTCAGAGGATAGCAAAGTCAAGGTCCACTGGAATGGCATAGTTCACAAAGACAATGGTCTACATTCTATTTTGGTGAGTAGCAGCTGAGGTCTTAAAATCTGTGAGCTGTGCCTAGTTTAACAATATTATAATTAGAATTACTAAATTATAATTAGTATCACTCAAAAAACTGATAATGCTGACACTAAAATGGAATGAGAATGTGTGTGTGTTTGTGTGTCTGTGTGTACATTAGATGAATGAATGAATATTGACCTCACACTCAACAGTAAGTCCTAACCTAAGAAAAATCAGCTCTTATGATGCAGCCCTGCTTAATACTTACCCTCATGAAGGGATCACTGCAGATAAGGAAGAGTGCTTTAGCTAAGTGTGGTTAAGAAATCGGACGATAGATGACTATCAGAAAGAATATTGTCTAGGTCTTAAAAGCTTATCTTAAAACAAGCAGCCATCTAAGTAGGGTGACAAGCTATGCTCACATCAAAGAAGCATATGAGAATGTGTGATCCAGGGATTTAAATAACAAAATCCAAATCAGAGGAAGGTAATGTATTAGAGCTTAAATTCTGAGAACCCGGTTTCAGAAGACTATGGATAATAGCAACAACCCAGAATCCATTTGTAGAGACCCTGGAGGGAGTGAGCCTCCATTGAATACCCTCAGACCATTGACCGGGGATGTGGCAAGCCCTGTCCACATGCAGAGTACAACAGAAAGTGAATTATTGCAGATAGTTAGGTTAAAATGTAACACTTTACCATTTGTTTTTGCTTGTAACACATTCTTTATTGGTTCTAACTTTATTATTTTCTACTTTCTTTTGGATTACAAAATAACATATAACTAATGTCATTGAACAAATTGCATAGAAAATGTTAAATGAAGAATTAATACAGTGAAATTATCAATATTACTGAAATCACTCTATAAATTCAATGCTATTCTGATCCAAGTCCCAGCACAGTGCTTCAAAGAAATGGAAAAACTAATCAGCAACTTTAAATGGAAAGGAAAGAAATATAATATAAACAAAAAATCTATTATAAAATACAGTAGGAGGCCTTTCCTTTCCCTACTTCAAAACCTATTATACAGATATGGTAATCAAATCAGCTTAGTATTGCTACAATGATAGATATGCAGACCAATGAATTAGAAGAGATAATCTAGAAATACAATTAAACCCCTATAGACACTTTATTTTTTGATAAACTATTAAAACTCAGTAAATGGGGAAGAGGTAACCTTTCCAATAAACAGTGCTGGAAAAATTAGATCACCACGTGCAAAAGAATGAAACAGGACCTATACCTCACACCATGTAAAAAACAAAATCAAAATTAATCAAAGACCCAAATATAAACTGTAAAACCAAAAGGACAATCAATGAAAAATAGAAACAGATGTAAGGGCCATAATATATGGCACAAATGCACTAACAAGCATTTAAAAAACCCACCCATACTGCAGGAGACAAAGACCTTCAAAAATATGATATTTATGTATATTAAACAGTAAAAAAAGAACCCGCAGACTGGGGAAAATTGGCAATGGTTTATCAGATAAAGGGCTGATTTCAAACATCTATAGAAAACTACAAAACCTTTAAAAATAAATTTTTTAAAATGGAGTTGACACGAATAGATAATTAACTACATATGACATCCAATTGGCCAAAAATCACAGGAAGAAATACTCATGTTCATTAGCAATAATATAAATACTAATTAAAACAACAAGGAACAAGCAGACGCCACGTGGCCTCACACTGACACTATTAGCTATATAGATATAATGCTGGAGAGGATGTGGAGGGATTGAAATGCTCATACACTGCTGGTGGGATTGCACAATTGTACAACCACTATGGAAAACAGTATGGTGCGTCTTTAAACACAATCTATCTACTTAAAGAAATACAAAATACAAACATACACATGTTTACCTGTAATAAGCAAACATGTTTATTGAAGCAATTTCTATAATAGCATAAAGATGGAAACAATCAAAAACCCCATCCATGGAGGAATCCATAAACAAACTCTGGCATATGCATACAATGAATCAAGCATCTCATATTATGGACAAAATTGGAGGGCCTTCTGCTCAGCAAAGTGAGTCAGTTTCACAAAGATAAATATTTCATGGCGCCATTATTATACCATTTAAAAATGGCTTTCACCAGAAGGGAAACCATTTTGAAGACTATGATGAGGCCAGTGTGGAAGAGGAGATGATGGAGGAAAGAACAGACAGAGAGATAAGGAGGAAGGGTGAGTGGGGTGGGGTGGGGGTGCGATAAATAAAAGAACTACACCCAAGGGGCATTTACTCGGAAATGGACACTGTTTTGATGATATGGGCAGTACACTACAGTTATGTGTATTTCTTTGTATGTGTTAGAGTCCACAATAAAAGGGAAAGAAGCAAGGATAATAAGATGAATAGAATTTAAACAGAGAAGGGTCACAACTTTGAAAATCCCTTCACAAAAAAATGAACAGGAAAAACAAAAATCCCTCCAGATTCCTTAACCTTCAGACCTAAATATTGGTCTGAGTGGTTATAAAAGGAGGAAAAATATCATTGAAACTGACTTAATTTCTTTTATGACACACACAAACTAATTTCAAACACACAAAATTGGTAAATGAAAAACGAATCTGCTGTTTAAACTTTCACTGAAAATACACTGACATTATAAAAAAAAAAGCTTGTGAGCAGCCCTCTAAGGTGCAACTATGGGTCTTGCCTCTCCCTCAGAGGAAAGACAAATGGTGAAAACTGAAAGACATATGGAAACAATTAACCCAATGAACCAATGGGCCATACAAATATCAGTGTCCACAACCCTGAGACCCAAACTAGATAGTGCATGGCTACCACCACCAACTGCTCCAAAAGGGTTCACATTAGAAGATCCTGGATAGAATGGGAGGAAAATAAGTGAACAAAACCCCAAATCATAAGAGACTAAGCTTACTGGTCAGATGGGTATTGGAGGGACCTCCAACACTATGGCCCTTAGTTACCTTTCAAATGGAATTGAACCCACTTCCGAGTTTGGATAATCAACCATTAAGATCAAAAGGACAGCATTTAGCCAAGGACAATGTATAGAGGATTAAGGAAGAAAGAGGGAAGGAAGCAAGAACACAGGGAGGAAATGATGTTATATTGAGAGGATTGCAATGAATGAGCTGAAACAAAATGTGCACACATTTTTTAATCTAAAACTACTGATCTGCTCTGCAACCTGTCACTTAATTCACAATTTAAAAAAAAGTTCAAAAAGAAAAGTAGAGCAGGATTCAGGGTGAGTAGAGTCACGGACATTTGCAGAGCATATTGTGTTTATATCAGAGTCAATAAAACGTTTCCAATGGGTACACACACATACACACACACAAAGAGAGTACTTGACTTAGGCAAATGCTAAATCAAACTTGTTCTGGTTAGGTGCCATAATGTTCATTTCCAATCTTAGTGGCCATATATGAAAGAGTAGAAGGACACCATAGGCTTCTGAGGCCGAAGTCTTCAAGGGAGCAGAATGTCAGGTGTTCTGCCAACTGAGCAACTGGCGGAGTGTTGACCCACTAACTTTTTCAGCAGCTGAGTGCTCAACCATTGTGCCATCAGTCCTCTGGAAATAAATATCAGCCTCCTTTTAGTTGTTCGATTAAGTGTTTCATTTCGTTTTTCCCGTTAGCTCTTTAGCCATATATATAGCTCAACCATTGTGCCATCAGTCCTCTGGAAATAAATATCAGCCTCCTTTTATTTGTTCAATTAAGTGTTTCATTTCTTTTTTCCCGTGAGCTCTTTAGCCATATATATATATATAAATTCAAGGAACAGAATATGATTGTCTTCCGAAATGGGAGAGCCCAGCAGCTGACGCTTCAGTTGAGTCATCTCCCTGTAAAAGCTGGTTTGTTAACATGCTGTTCAGGGGAAAAGCCTGGCTCTTTGCCAGGAAGTCTGAAAATCCAATCAAGATGACTAAATTGTTTGCTTAGGAAGGCATGACAGGAATGTCCCTTTCTGTGAACTAGAATAGGGACATTCCACAATTGTCCCGCTTGCGGTCTAACTGATAAGAAAAGAAAGATTTGGAGGATTTAAGCAGAGCTTATTAATCTTTGTTCTGAGGCAAGACTGATTGAATGAAGACTTTTTCAAATTGTTTTTCATAAGTCCGTATTCTAGAATTTTTTGGTGCTTGAGATTTCTTTACATATTTATACATATGGAAATCTGAAACAGCTTTTGTTTCTATGTGATATATCTAGTGATATTGTGTTAGAGCTTAAATTCTGAGCACTACATGTGCAAAAAGCTACAGATAACAGTGAAAGGCCAAGAACCATTTGCAGAGTGTCTACATGAATGAAGCCTCCATTTAATTCTTTCTGACCATTGAACAGGAAGGTGAACAATCTTGCCCTCGGGCTGAATGCAATAGAAAGTGAATTGCTACCCCTCCCCTAGCCAGCCCTGGCTGAGTAGCCTACCAAAGGGGCCTGTTTGGGTGTGTCCCAGATGTGTATGCCATGGTCAAAGGGCCCTGGACCTATTTTGCAAGCTCTTGTGTCTAGCTCAATATGCATGTCCCAACCATTATCCCATTGCTTTTTCCGTAGTCCTGTCTGCGACTTTGATGTATTGATCTGCCACAATCATGGTTCTGTGACAGTTTCCTTGGTCGTCTCATGTCCTAATGAAGCCATTGGTTCCCAGGAAGCCTTTGGATGTCGTCATGCCTTCGTGTTGATTGCCTCCCTCATCTGGATATGCTGTTGTCCTGTTTGACTTAATAAATATTTTCCTTAAATTACTTTCGAGATTGGGGTCTTTTTTCGATCACAATAAAAACTAAAACTGAAAAAAGTAAAATATTTATTAATATATTATGGCTTAACAGAAATAAAAGATCTTTATGAAAAAATTGCTTCATTTTCCAAAGCAAAATAAAGCAAATGAATAGAGTGGCTGACATTGTTATATTTTTGCAAATCTCTTCCATGCCTGGTGGTAATATGTTTTTTTAATTACAGGGAGAATATTGACTTTACATTGATATTTGTAGGCAGTCCCTGGGATAAGGACACTCCATTTACATATAGCCTGTAATTATGAACCACCTCCTATAGCCTACTCTATTAAAATTTTGCAGAACCATACGATGATTTGTCATAGCAAACAGGTGCTATTTTGCAATTCTCAAAATAGTATCGCTGTTGTTGTTATGTGCCATCGACTTGCGTCCAGCACATAGCTACCCCAGGTATAACACTGCCAGTCCTATGCCTTCCTCACAATTGTCTACAATTGTTCCTATGTCTGAGCCCATGGCTGCAGCTACGGTGTCAATTCATCTTGTAGAGGGTCTTCCTCTCTTTCACTGCCCCTCTACTTCACCAAGCATGATGTCCTTCGCCAGGGACTGCTCTCTTCTAACATGGCCAAAGTCCTCAAGATGAAGTCTCGCCATCCTTACCTCTAAGGATCAACAAAATATTATTATTATTTTATTGTTATGGTAAATATGTGTTAGTGTATCTGAAAGTGTTTCTTTTTATGATAGAACGGTACACTATATGCTACATACTAAGGCAAAAGTTTTGTTGATAATTAGATGCAAATCCTACCTAACTATTCTGACAGATTGTACTTAAGGTCAGACTTAAGAATGGAAATCATTCATATTCCTGGAGCTACCTAGAGTTGAAAATACCAACCCAAATGCACTGCCTTTCAGACAATTCTGATTCATACCCACCCTACATTGTGTTTGCAGACTATAAATCTTTATAAGAGCAGACAGTCTCATTTTTCTTTGAGTGTCTGGTGGGTTTTGCAATGACAACCTTGCGGTTAGCAGCCTAATGCCTAATCTACCAGGGCTCCTTGTAGTTGCAAAGGGGGAACTATTAAAAAATCCCTTTCAGATAATTGTGGCAATTCTTCAGTGTTACATTCAGCCTTGCAAGTGATAGCTCCTAAAAATTATAATGCGGAATCTGAAACCATATCAATAATGTTTTATACTGTTATTTTGTCATTAAAATGTCTTGTACATTGAATAGCTCTTTTACCCATGTATAATCCCAAATTTGTCATTTGTAAAATATAGCTTCACTAAATTATACATCATCTTCCAGATGATGATATATTTCATTATATGTATTGAATTTTTTAAAATCACATTTGTTAATGTTGACACTTGTTAGAAAAGTCTTTAAGTATTCAGAAGTAGACACAAATTTTGAAAAATTCTAATTTTCTCCTGAGAGCTCAAGTTTTATCTTTGGTAACAATTGTCTTTTTGGGGGGGCAGGGGGGCTCTTTGCATACACTTTAAAATATTTTATTTCACTTTTCCTTGTGAATGTGATGAGGATTTACTGAGAAGATGAGTTTTCCATTCAACAATTCATACAAATTTTGTTTCGTCTCTTCCACTACAATCCTAGAAATGGAATCTCTCTTATCCTGTTTCCTCTTTGAGTTTCCCATTTCTGTTTTTCTTTCTTTCCTAACCTTTTTGAACTTGGTCCTTGGACAAATGCTGCCCACTTGATCACAAATGGCTGGTTATTCTACATGCTATTGCCCCCCCACCCCATAGATTTGTTTATTATTTGGCTGAAAATGGTGCCAAGAGGGTAAATTCATTTCCAGACCTGTGATTAATTAATGATCTGTGAAAATCAGATGACACAATCTTGTTTGCTGAAAGTGAGGAGGATTTGAAGCACTTGCTGATGAAGATCAAGGATTGCAGTCTTCAATATGGATTAAAAATCAATGTAAAGGAAACAAAATATCTTCACAACTGAACCAGTAAGCAACATCCTGATAAATGGAGAAAAGCTTGAAGTTATCAAGGGTTTCATCTTGCTTGTATCCACAATTACTTCTCAAGAAAGCAGCAGTCAGGAATTCAAGTGATGCACTGCATTGGGCAAATCTGGTGCACAAGCCTTCTTTCAAGTATTGAAAATTAAGGATGTTACTTTGAGGACTGAAGTGTATCTGACCCAAGCCATGGTATTTTCAGTGGCCTCATAAGCATGTAAAAGTTTGACATTGAATAAAGAAGACCAAAGAACAATTGAAACATTTGAATTATGGTGCTGGTGAAGAATATTGAAAGTAAAAAATAATATTCCAGA